TGGCATGAGCCCCTGGTGCCTGGTGGAAGCAGAGCTTTACAATTTAATGGATTTTTTTTCTACACCCGTGTTTAATGGCATCTTCATAAGGTAAAGTTCGTGAAAGAGACAAGATTGAAACATCAATTTTAGGTGTTGGATATTTCCCAGCTGTGCTTTTATGTCAGTCCTTGCATAACTTGGAAATACTTAACATAATCTTTGCTCTATTACAGACCCATTATTTCTTATACTCTTCCAAGCAAAAAAGATAAATAGCAAAGCATATGATTGCAAAATTCCTTCTCTCTTCATGGTTCCTAGATCTTCACAGGACAGTCATTTGGTTCTTTGCCTTGAATAGTGTGGAATTCAATTCTGGTAGCAGACACTGATTCAGGCATTTTATCAAACTTAGTGTATAAGTTCAGAATCTTCATAGCTACACTACAAATGCCTGTTAGAAATTATTTAGTCTGGCCAGATGTGGTGGCCCATGGCTATAATTCTAGCACTCAGGAGTATATGGCAGGAAAATTGCCAAGTTGAAGGCCAGCCTGAGGTACATAGTGAGGGCCCTGTCACAAAACAAAGGAACAGCTACAAAAGTCTAGTCTGCCCCTGCAGTGTAAAATGAAATTGCTGTGATTTTTGTGACAGGACCATTGTGTCTGATAGAGTCCTTACCAGGTAGAAACTTGGTGTTGACAGGTACTATTGCCTACCAGAGGAGGAGAGATTGAAAAGTATTTATAGCTCTGACTCCTCCCTTAGTTCTCCTTCTCTGGCCGCTCTGGCTGTGGGTACTCTTATTTTATTTACCGTCTAACGTGCTCTTAGCTCTTTTCTTGTCTCTTGTCCAGTACTCCCTGAGGAAGGGAGTGGGCAGGTAATCTGTCTGCTTGGGCTTCGTTCATCTTTCAGGCTTTTGTGAGAAGAATTTGTTGTGATGGGGAAAAGTTTCTCAGCCTGTCAGTCCTTCCTTGAATTCAGTTCCCCAAGGCATGGTGGAATGCCCCCCCTACCCCCGCCCCAGCCCTATCTCTCCATAAGAGTGCTAGACGGGGTTACTGACTATTGGCAAAAATTTAATAAGCTTATCTCGTTTCATTGCGCAATTTCAGTGTCAGAGAGTTCTGGTAAAAATAAATAAGTAAATTGGACTATTTATAACCTTTCAGATGTAAGCTATTTTATTAGCAGAGGCGATTAAAGTAACAAACTCTTTAGCCAGGTGCTGGTGTCTCACGTGTGCGATCATAACGACTAAGGAGGCTGAGATCTGAGGATCATGATTCAGAGCCAGCCAATGTAAGAAAGTTTGTGAGACTCATCGCCAGTTCATGACTTAAAAGCTGGAAGTGGAGCTGTGGCTCAAATGGTCAAGTGCCAGTCTTGAGCATGGTAGCTCAGGGACAGCACCTGAGACCTTGAGTTCAAGCCTTGGGATTGTGCATGTGCACACACACACACACACACACACACACACACACACACTTTATTTAAATGAAGTGCTGTACCTAAAACATGAGCTATTTTTGTGGAGAATATATTTTTATTTAAAAGTTTAATTGTCCTTTAGCTTCAAATTATCTCTGAATATTGCTGACTTAGAGATCTCCCTTCACCTGTCCTCTTGGCAGTTTCTTTTTTATTTTACTTTATTTTGTTTTGTGTCATTTACTACTGGGACTTGAACTCAGGCCCTGCACATTCTCCCTTAGCTTTTTAGCTCAAGGCTGGTACTCAGTCCCATGAGTCACAGCCCGAGTAGGGCTTCTTGCTGTACAATCGAGATAAGAGTCTCTCACAGACCTTTCTGCTGGGGCTGGCTTTGGACCAGTATCCTCAAGTCTTAGCCACCTGATTAGCTAGGATTACAGGTATGCCCCACTAGTGCTTGCTTTACAAGGGTAATGGGTACCAAAATGTTGGCTAAGATTCACGTAGGCTGAGGTGTGTAGCTGTGTTGAAGCTAAATGCTACCGACCTTTACATGGCCTGTGAACCTCACCACCTCCCAGAGGGGGTGTGGTATTAGCCTGACCTCAATTAGCCTGGGATGAGCCCTGCCTCATCCAGGAGTAGGGGTGGGGGGGGAGGTGTGGTTGGGGGGGGGAAAGGGAGGCACTGAAGCATTCAAGGTCAAAAGCTTTGCCCCAGGCCATCTGAGTCAAGCAGAAAAGGACTACTGATTGGTCCCGAGGACTCATCCTTCCTCCTAACCCCAGCACCATTGTCCAGCTTGCCTGAGGCCATGCCCAATCACCTGCCGGGAAGTTTTCATTCTGGGAACCTGTTGCCCTGTGGTGGGAGTGGCTTTGTTCTGCCTAACCACAAGGCTAGACAGTTGAATATTTTACATGAATCAGTAAAAACCAACTGTCGAGGCTATCTACCTTTCCTCATTTAATTATTTTCATGCCTCTATTTAAATTATATATATATTATATATACATATATAGCATATATGTATATATATTTGTCGGTCATGAAGGTTGACCTCAAGGCTGTCCGTGAGCTCTTTTGCTCAAGGCTAGTGTTCTACCACTTTGAGCCACAGCACCACTTCTGATTTTTGAGGAGTTAATTGAAGAGTTTCAACAAGACTTTTCTGCCCAGGCTGGCTTCCAACTGTGATCCTCAGATCTCAGCTTCTACAGTAGCTAGGATTATAGGTGTGAGTCACCCCTAGGGTTTTTTATTTTTCCTCCTCCCCCTCCTCTCCCTCTCCTTCCCCTTCTCCCCTTCGGTCTCCCTCCACGCTTCCTTGAAGCCTACCATCCTTATCCGTAATTTACTTGGGTTCACAGCATCACAGAACCTAAAGCAGCCATGGAAATCCTTCTGGCCTATCAGCCCCAGAAAACATCAGGCTCAGTTGCATTAACTTATGGTTCAACACTTTGTTCTTCAAGTAGGAGCCACACAAGGTTGGGTTACTTTCATTTTGTTTTTTTTTGGAGACAGGGTCTCACTGTGTAGCCCACGCTGCTCTCGAACTCCAGATCCTCCTATCTCAGCTTCTCCTTCAGCCTCACCTGGCTCTTTCTTTTCAAAGAGTATCAGAGATGGTGTTCATGAATGAATGAATTCGTTAGTGCTAATTATTGAACTATAGGCTATTTATTCATTTTATCATAGACCTATATTCAATCCAGACCTTTTTAAGTTTATTTATATTTTTCACAAAGTACGTGCATTTGAATTTAGGACTCTCAGCTTTACACTTGAGCCATACCTTCAGCCAGGCTTGTGTGTGTGTATATGTGTGTGTGTGTGTGCTTCTGTTTGTGAAGAAATGGGTCTTTGCTGACTTTTCTTCCCAGGCTGGCTTCCAACTTTGATCCTCTAGTTATCAACTCCTGAATAGCTAGGATTATAGACCTCAACCCTCTTGAATAGCTAGGATTACAGGCAAGAGCTCATAAGTTCATTTGAAAAAGCTTTACGTTGTGAAGATTCTTAGGATACTGCTCATCCACTGCAGACTGGTGCTTCATCAAGAGCATTTCAAAGGTGCTCTCTGCCCCCATCCCCCTACCCGCGTTTTCGTGTTTTGTTTTTTAAATTTATGCTCAGGAGGACAAATAAACCAAAGCAAGCAGGACAAATAAACCAAAGCAAGCAGGACAAACTTAGGACGCCACCAAGAACCAACTCTCACCCTGGGCATCTTGATATTTTTCTTAAAGAATCTCTGTTGTTTGTTTTATTTTTTCCAACACAAAACTCCTGTGGTTTCTTAACTACTTCCTAAAGTGATCAGCCAGCAAATCAAATGTGACAAGTATTGTCATCTCCTAGGGAAGACGGAGTGGTTTCCAGAGAAGGAAAATCACTGAAGGGAAAATAAACCCCCTCAGGGCTATTTCCCTTGTAAAATAACTCCATCAAGGATCTTCCCCCTTGGAAATAAAAAAAAAAAAAACAACGCAAGAGAAAGAATCCCCCCCCCCCAACCACCGCCAAACGCCACAGGGGGCCCCAAGTGTGTGTGTGTGTGGGGGGGGGGGGTCTGAGCCCCCCCAACCAGGAACACTGACTTTTGAGCAGGGAGGGCCCAGGCCTCTCCGTACCCGATGGCACCCCTCACACGAGGCGCTCGCCCCCTTCATTCCCCCCGAGCCCCGCAGAGCGCAGCGCGGCCGGGGCCAGAAGGTTCCCCGCTTGGAAAGCCCTCCCGACGATGGCTCGTGCCCAAGCTTTCACACTGGTTTTTCCGAATCGGCTGGGATGGGAGACGTAAGAAAAAAGCAAAAGGCAAGCAGGTTGTAGTTCTTTAGGGTCGCTGCTCCCGAGGGTGTGGACGGCCTCGACCCTCAGCCAGGGCTTAACGATTAACTCCGGCGCCCGCCTGCGGGGCGGGGGCGTGGCGGGGCCGGGCGCGGCGGGGCCGGGCGCCCCTCGTCCCGGTCCGCGGCTCCTCCCGAGCGCGGCCTGACATCACCGCACCTTTTGTGGCTGCAGGGCGGGGAGGGAGTCCGGAGCGCCGGGCGAGCTCATTCTGAAGCGGGGCGGGGGGGGTGTCCCAGGGTTTCCGGGTCCCCGGGGCGCCGCCACCCCCGCAGCCGGGCCCTGCCAGCCCGGTGGGCGTCGCGTGCCACCCCCCTTCCCACCGCGGTCCCCGTCACCGGAAGCCACGCCCAGGCGGCCCGGGTCCCCGCGGCCGGGCTGGGCGAGCTCCCCGCCGCCGCCGCGCGCAGTGGTGCGGGCTCGGCTGCGCTGGTGGCTGCGTCGCGGCCGGCTGGGAAAGTTTTCAGGACTTGTCAGAGTCGCGCCGCCCGCGCGCGCGGCCGGAGTGCGGGGATCCTGCGGGGGGAGACGCACCCACCCACCTCCTCCACGCCCGGGCTGGTCCGGTCGCGTGTCCCCGCCCCCCCCCCCCCCCCCCGCCATCTGCCCGGGATGCGCCGCGGGGGTCCGGCTCGGTGACGCCGCGGCGGGAGGGGACCCTGCGCCCCGTGGGTAGCCGTGCGCGGGTGCGGGGCGACCGGGACGCACGGCCTGCGCGCGGGACGCGGCCATGGAGGAGGAAGACGCGGGAGCTGCTGGCCCGGCCCCAGAGCCCGAGCCCGAGCCGGAAGCCGGCGCGTCGGACGCGTTCTCTCAACTCTGGACCGACGTGATGGGCATCCTGGTGAGCCACCTGGGGACGGCGGGCAGCCCGCCTGGAAGGGGCGCCCTCCCTTAGCTGAGCGTCCTCCTCCTGCTCCAGCACTTAGGGGGTTAATGCAGACCCATTAAACTGTAACCAGCCGCCGAGCGCGGTCACTGACGCTTTTTCAAACGAGCGGGTGTAACGTGCCCCAGTGCGGAATCGGGGACACCTGTCGGGAGGTCGGTACGGAGAAGGCCAAGCGGAGCCCTTCAGAGAGAAGATGTAGCCAAGCGCCGGTGGCGCACGCCTGTAATCCTAGCTACTCGGGAGGCTGAGATCTGAGGAACATGGTTCGCAGCCAGCCCGGGAAGAAAAGTCCATGGAGACTCTCCTGTCTCCAATTTAACCACCAGAAAACCAGAAGTTGGAGCTGAGTGAGGCTTCAGTGGTAGAGCGCCAGCCTTGAGCCAAAACGCTAGGAAACAACATCCAGGCGCGCGCGCGCGCGCACGCGCGCACACACACACACACACACACACACACACACACACGAAAATAGGCCTTGTAAGTTCTTGGCTGGTGGGCTGACTGCCTTAGCAGTGGGGTAGGGAGAGGCTGCTGGCCCTGATGTTTATCTCGTCCCCATTTGTGTGGTGTGCCCACGAGAAGAAAAGAACCATTTCCTTACCGCCAGAATGTTTACTTGCTCAGCTCGCACTTTTTTCCATTCGGGAGAGTTACAGGATATGTGTTTTAAGTTCAGGGGTAAACACAATAGGGCTGGATTTGTGCTGTCAAGTGTTTGGAAACCGCCGGTGAGGGGAGCGGTAATTCTGGACAGCACTTGGTAACACGTGGAGAGGGGGTTTTATCCTGCTGGGTCTCAGACCCCCTGAATTCACGCTTAAAAAAAAAAATCCACGTTTGGAAAAAGAGAACTTCAGGTAGACGTTTGGAATTGCCCGATTATGCGAGGTCGCTGGGACATTTTCTGAGTTTTACCTTGAGAGCTCTTCTTTCGAGTTGGACGGGGTGTGTTTTAGAAAGCATCTTTTCCTCGGGAATAAACGAGCACAGGTTGAGGCTTGGCGATTAAGCCCCGGGGCTGAGAAGTGACTTAGCCTAGGCCAATTGGTTGTCTGTCTGCCTTCCACCTCCCCAATTGGTTGTCTGCCCTACCTTGGCCAAGTTGTTCCGCCCTCCGGATTCCTAGTATCACTATATGAAAAAGAAGGGGAAGGAGGGTTTTCGGAACTGTAGGTTTGGTGCTGGGTTTCTGGAGCTCTTGGTTACTCTCTGGAAGGGGACGTGCGTCTTCAGGTAGCTCGGTTCCTAGGATTTCCTGCACATAGAATCTTCTCTCTCATTTTCCCAGGCATCTTAAAGTCCCAGTGATTTCATTTTTCCTGTGTCCATTCTTATAATTATTATTGAACTGAGAACCAGGAAAAATTTGTGTTTTTTCCATTCTCAGTATGTGCAAAAATCCATAACAATATACCTTTGCCTATAATATATGTATTATAGGTATCTGTGCTCGCTGTACACGTGCAGTATATACTTTGGATTTAAAGCCTCTGTTTTTGTGTACTCTGTGCCTTTCAGATGAATACAATTCTAAACTGAAATCCCAGAAAAATTTAATAGACATTTTAAAGTGATAGACTTGGCTTTGCAGTGTATCAAGCCGGAAGCCTATCTTGTTTCTTGCTGAGATTCTGCTCTGTACTTTTTCAGTCACTGAGGGATTGCTTTTGATAACATCACCTGGCATCTCTTAGGAGGGTCGTCCAGAGTCTGGCTCAAGTAAAGCTGGGCCACAGGGTTGATTAGGGGAGGAGGGCTTGGCTGCTGACACTTTCTGAATATTTGCTTTCCCTTCCTGGGCAGATTGTGGCAGAGTGTTCCTTGGCTGAGTGAAAAGCTGAGGTGGGGTTCTAGAAGTTGGAGCTTGTTATTAAGATGCAGGAGAACAGAAGCTATGTACTTCTTACCTAGCTAATAATAATGGAGGGCATGGCAGAAAAGAAGGTAAAGTGGGTCCTGAGCCGATCTGTCCATTCATGTTCTCTCCAGTCTTTATCTAGACTGGGGTTTCTTGTAAACTTTCGCATTGGTCCCACCTGGAGAAAGAATGGCTTATCTCTTGTGTGTACTGCTCTGAAGGTGCCAGCTGAGAAGGGAGAATGTTCTAGAAAGCTGTCATCCAGGTGTTATAAAAGCTACATCTCTGGAAGACTATATATCAAAACCCTAAAGCCAGCAATTAGCTCTCTGTGCTTGATGAAATACCACACATTGTTTTCTTTATTTTGTGTTCTAAGATGTGGGATTCTGCAGTTATCTATCTGCCTAGACTGAAGAGATCTGACTGTTGTTGGTACACACCTGGCTAGTGACGGTGCCCATGCCACTTTAATGTCTCCTCCCAGACAGGGGTTGGATGCCAGCCCTGATAATCCACCCTTCATGCTCACACTAACAGGAGAAATTTAACTACACCCATTTTTTGAAAGCAAAACATGATTAGCAATATTTTCCCCCCATATTGAACATAAGGAAGGAATAACACTTCCAAACATCATACTTCAAAGATTCCAGGCAAAGTTTTTACTTTTTTGCTTTGTTGTTATTATTTTTATTATTTACTGCACTAGTACTGGGACTTGAACTCAGGACATCTACTTTCTTTTTGCTGCTGTTGTTGGTTGTGGGGCTTGAACTCTGGGCCTGGGAACCCCTCAGCTCTTCAGCTCAAGGTGAGTGCTCTACCACTTGAGCCACAGCACTACCTCTGGTTTTCTGGTGGTTTATTGGAGATCAGAGTCTCACATAGTTTCCTGCCTGGGCTGGCTTTGAACTGCAAACCTCAGATCTCAGCCTCCTGAGTAGCTGGGATTACAGGCGTGAGCCACTAGCGTGCAGCCAGGCTTTGGCTTTCTCTTGACCTTTTCTACTCTAGGTTGTAGCCCTACCACTTGAGCATGTGCACACCTTGGGGCTTGACCTCAGGGCTCTGGGCGCTGTCCTTGGTCTCTTTTGCTCAAGGTTAGTGCTCTGCTATTTGAGCCACAGCTCCACTTCAGTTTTCTGGTGGTTAATTGAAGATGAGTCTCACAGACTTTCTTGCCTAGGCTGGCTTTGAACTGTGACCCCCAGATCTCCTGAGTCATTAGGATTACAGGCTTGAGGTTGCCAGCACCCAATTGCTTACAGTTTTATGGCAGTAAATTGAAGATACGAGTGTCACAGACTTTCCTACCCAGGCTGGCTTCAGACTTCCCTCCAGATTAGTCATGAACTGCCTGCACCTGGCTCTTTTTTTTTTTTTTTCATCTAAGTTTAAAAATCAAATTTCCTTTCAGACTTTCATAAGTCAGAGGGTTTTTAGGTGCAGTTAGCAAAGTCTTCTCTGAAGGTGCTGAGCACTGGAAGGTGTTTGTCCCCCTGGGACTTGTGAGTTATCCGTGGCTCAGGGAAGGGTCTTCTCCCCCCCACCCATCTCAGTAAATAAGGGAAGGCCATTTGAGTTTATTAGGACACATTTTGCATTTAAATTAATTCAATCCTTGCACAGTTAAGCAACCAATAGTTGTTTTCAGATCGTTGTTAACAAAGTGCTTATTTAGAGAAGACATAATAACAATTTAAAACTTGAAAATGTTTAAGCAGTGCTGGAATAGATAAATGCTAATCAGCTAATAATATATAAATAGCAAATGAAGGGAAAACCAGCTTAGAAAAATACTAGCTTGTGAGTGCTTAGAGGTATTCATTGTTGACAGTGTGATTTTTGTTGACAATGAAGGGAAAAAAAATCACATGCTTATTACATATCGGAGTCACATCAAAACGGTATTCTGGGCTGGGTATCTTGTGGCTCATGCCTGTAATCCTAGCTACTCAGATGGTTGAGATGTGAAGATCACAGTTGAAAGCCACTTTAGGCAAGAAAGTCCGTGAGACTTTTTTTTTTTTTTTGGTTGGTCATGGGGCTTGAACCCTGGGCCGGGGCGCTGTCCTTCAGCTCTTTAGCTCAAGGCGAACACTCTACCGCTTGAGCCACAGCGCCACTTCCGGTTTTCTAGTGGTTTTATTGGAGATAAGAGTCTCACGGAGTTTCCTGCCCCGGCTGGCTTTGAACTGTGATCCTCAGATCTCAATCTCCTGAGTAGCTAGGATTACAGGCGTGAGCCACTAGTGACCGGCTCTGTGAGACTTTTTAAACATCAAGTCTATGAGACTAATTAACCACCAAAAAACTGGAAGTGGAGCAGTGGCTCAAGTGATAGATCAGCTTTGAATGAGAAAAACTACAGTGCCTAGGTCCTGAGCTCAAGCCCTAGTACCCACAGAAAAACAAAACAATAAGCATGCTCATAAATTCTGCCCAGGTGCAGAGTATCGTCTGGCCAATCTTTCCAAGCAATAATGGTAAATTGTGACATGATGACAAGACCTGAGCAATTATGGCCTGGCATTCTTGTGAAATGTGCCAGCTATCCGATGTGGTCCTTCTGGACTTTGAGACCATGCCCCTTCCCTATGAGAAGTGCAAAAGTCTTTAGAGCCATGTGGGATTTTACTCCCTGATTTCACAGCCTGCTTCCGTCACTACTTGCCTAGGGGTGTGGGGGTATTATTTTTTCTTTTTGTTTATTTTTGCTGCCGACTCTGAGCTGTCTCTGGGCTTTCTTTGCTTTAGGCAAGTTCTCTTCTACGGTTTGAGCCACACCTCCACTTCCTAGCTTTTGGGCAGTTGACTAAGAGTCTCTGGGACTTTCCTCCCTAGCCAGCTTTGAACAGAGATCCTCACACCTCACCTCACACCTCAGCCTCCTGAGTAGCTAGAATTTCAGGCGTGAGCCACCAGTGCCCAGCTGGGTAGTTGTTTTTAAGAATGATGAAGAGATATGGGTAGATATGGCTGATCTTTTTTCTTTTTTTTGGTGGGACTGATGAAATGGCAAATGGTGATTTTTAAAAATGTATCCTTGTAGCTGCTGCATCCAGTCTGAGGGCCTCTAAAACTGAGTCAG